CCTGGCGTGGGCTACAGAGGACATGTAGAGTTACCGTAACTCGAAAATCATATCTGTCATCGTATACCGTTCCTTAGGTTGTACGCAAATGGATCAGACAGAGAAGAAACTCACAGTGGCGTACTCATACATAGCGGTGTATATAGTAGACGATCCGCTTTCTTGACCACGCCCGCTCTGACATATGACGCTGTGTACCGATGGCTCGACGGTTGTATCGCTAGACTGTCGACTATGTCTTTAAATCGGGCGCAGTGAGGGATCCTATGAGATATACCGGGGGCTCTGGTATTGTTTATATCTACACCACAGCTGCCTAGAAATTTTTAGAATACATCGTTGACACACGAAAGGTTGTGTTGTGCTCTATGTACAGCACCGCGGCGGCAACCATTTTACTTTGCGGCTCCATAACAAACATATATACACACGACGATGCGAACCCAGAACAAAGCTATAAATTACAAGCACTATTGTCCGCGGCTTTGGTGTTAGGCGGTTGGTTTGAGTTTATCAGGACGTATAACGGAAGTATGCTAGAAAGCTCCTTTAACTATATGACTCTGTGGAAATGATACTAATTTATTTTACACCCCAAACACGACTCTGCACTCACCACACCTGTCTGTCTTGAGTACTTTTTTAAATATTTATTCGAAACTACAATTCGTCAGAATGGAGCAACGCTGCTCCATCAAGCGTCGCCCCAGGCCCGCTCGATATTGCGGTGTTGACTACATCGAAACCACTATTGGCAATCATCCGCAGCGTTTCTTGCATACCAGTCACCGAATCGTCCAGCTGCCAACAAACCACGCACGGAAATATAACCACAAGAACAGCAAACTTAGACAACGTGATAGTTTTAGGGAGATATGCGATATCCCGAAGCTAAGTCCGTGGAAAGTGGCATGGGTGCACCAAAAGGAAAGGAGGGGGGGGGGGACGTAAATGACAAAATGCGTAGTGCCATGCTTGAACTCAGTAAGAAGTTTCAGTGTGTGTAGAGTGTCCCAATTCTTCAAAGATTGTACGCTCATCGTCGGCGAGTGAAACTTGTTTTAGATTAATCGCAAACGTACACTCGCGTACACGTTTCGGCGGCATATAAAAAACAATGTTGCGTGACAGAAGGGGCGATAGGTTTGCGTTTTCATTCCTAGATAGAGAAGTCCAAACAGCTACGTGCGCATATAGTACCTTCGATAAGTGGGTTACAACTCGCTCGTGTTGTGAAGCGTACAGGTCGCGTTGGAGCTTCAGGAGATCGACCCATTCTTCAGTTGTATTGGGTCGATATCTGTTCAGAATTGGCGAACAAGAAATATTCGGACGAATTCAGAGAGCATTTAGAGCAGAACAGAGCAGGACTGTGTTGTGGTGATACAAGAACGAGAGTAGCCCAACAAGCGACGGCGCTCTAAACGCGCATGAGTGGCCACCAAACAAACAATATCACGTACAACGGACGATTTATGCCAGGGTGGACCACATCAAATTTTCTCACAGATATTGACACGCTTGTCTAGACGGTTCACGTACATAGTCAGTAATTTGAGTTCCTGCGCTCGCATCCTATAAATATCTATGTATCATAGTTTACCTTTGTACCAACACTTCTATAATGCCAGCGGGATCTAGCGAAGTTTGCCATATTTCTAATGCTGAGTGCAGCGACGACGCCCGGTGCAGAAGAAATCTGCGCGTATGTACAATAGGTTGAGTGCGTATCTACATAGGGCTGATGGCATACAGAAGTGCCCTTGTTCTGACACATATGCACTATTTCGAGCACAATTGTACAAGTGCTTTAGAAAGAAAAGTCAGAAGATATTATAGCACACGTACCTATATGGCAATACAGAACGTGAAATGGCGATACCAAATTGCGATAAGACGATATTGATCGAAGGTGACAGAAAGAAAGCTTTTGACAAGTCGATAATCGAAAAACCTCTCTCCGCGCGTGCAGGGAATCGCTTACTGGTATACTACCATAGGAGTCCTGTGAAAATTATCATGCAGATACCTGTAGTCCTCACCTTTAGACCAGTATTTGCTATCCCCCGCGTACACAAAAAATGTAACATATGGGATGCTGTGCACTTACAGATTGGTTATCATAAACCAAAAGGACAGCAGCATGATAGCTAGGACCATGAGAGAGAAATGCTGCGCCACCCACTCGTACACTATGATTGGTAGAGGGCCTCTGGAAGCTTTCTTCTGCTCCTCGACTTCGGGTGCGGCAGTGTCTTTCGCTTTCTGTTGGGGGCAGATGGATGATACACATGTTATGTTTTATGTCATGTGTCAACGTGACAAAGACGAGCCTCCGACATTGACTCAAAATCCATATAATACGGAATACAGCTACTGCTTACATAAGAGAGAACGTCGTAGTTATGTGAAAACTCAGTTGTAGATGGGGCACCCACAACACGTATGCCATTGAGCCAATGAGCAATCGATGGTTGAGTGATTGCAGCACATACCCCGATTTTTAGATGTGATATCAGCCAATTCGGACGCATAGATGCCGTCTTAAATTTCAGTGCAGGTTCGTACTGACAGCCCGTTCGAAATACAAAGGCATCAGTGATTCCTACCACTCCCATTGAGAGGTCACTGAACTATCACGCCCCTTTCTCAAAAACCAAATTGATCGTTGTTAAACTGGATATGTACTACACAGTAAGACAACGAAACCTACCGTCGGCGCAGAAGCCTCGCCACCTACTTCCTTTTGAATAGCATGCTGCAATGCAGTTAGCTGAGTATCGATGCCCTCGTATGTGCTGCGCGTGATATATCCTGCAATATTGGGCGGATACATGAGCCATCAATTGCACCAGGAACAAAATCTCAAAGAAGTACATTTATATGTCACAATATGCGAGGCATACAATTCCATACAGTACTATGCGTGATACCATTGTTTCGAGCATATCTTTTAGGGGATATTCGCTAGCATTAAATAAGTCAAGCTGCGAGCAACTCACCGGCATAAAAATATATTAAGAAGTATTCGTCGATACCATTTCTTCAGCAATGTGTGAAAATGTTGATAAAAAGAATCGCAGGATTTGGGAGACAACCACTTATAGCTGATCAAATTATGGTTTGACCATTTACGCCCTCGGAGAAGCGCGCAAGTCTAGCCGTTCGATCCCTTCACGCCACCCCATAGATGACAGGCATATCAGTGTGCTGACTCACATTTATAGACTCCACACATATTGGTAGGGCTGAAAATTTGCGAAAACATGTGGCAACACGAGGCCTGAACTCAATACAATGTTACCAACCTTTCAGAAACGTAGATTTTTCCCAGATAACTTCTGCAGTGATACGTAACCGGCTTTTTTGGCCTCCCTCCGCCGTTATGCAGAACTTGCACTGTGAATAAAAATAGTCTCCGTACGGCAACGTCGGCGTCCTTGCCTCAGACAATACAACATGTTTCTGCAAGGGAGCGAAATAGCACCTAACTTCAGCTTTCCTATTCCAATGCATTGAGACCTCGAAGTCGGCCCACGAAGCTCGGCACGTGTTCAGTACTTTAAGCCCTCTCGCTAAAATTTAGTGTCGAAATCGAAGCAAACATAGCACTAGATTTTGCACGCAAATACCTACCTTCCCCCTTTCTCCTTTCAATATCACTTGCTTCTCTTCCACTGGTGCTTCAGTCGGTCCCACCGAATTTTTCTGCGAAAATCGAGCACATAAATCAGCCCGATATATTTTTGTCAAACCGGGTAATAAATGCAACAGGTTTATTATCACCCACATAATTGTGTAGTTTTACTTCCAGTGGGGTGTATAAAGGTAGAAAGAAGATAATCTAAATCCCCCTACATATTCTACGTGTATACAAGATACTGATCTATTTTCGTACAAAACATTCACAACGGAATCGTTAAAAGTATTCTCAACTGAAATTAAGGCGTGAAGTCTGACAAGAATGAGAACTGATATCTGCCCACCATAAGACGCGCGCCGATCTACAAACCCCCTTCATAGTACGGTAAAACTGTCTACCATGCCACACTACAATACGCTTACTTTCAAAGGTTTCGTATATGTACACATCCGCGTTGGCCTTCCAGTCGTGCTGTCATCCTCCCACTCTGCTTCCATCACCTCTACAAGTGAATACGCAAGGCGTGAGGCTAAAGCGAAGATCCTTTAGGATCAAAAAGCCGTAGCACCTTCCAACATTTATACTAAACTAGATTGGAGTGTACGTTGTAGGCTACCACAAAGCTTATGAAAATAACATCAAATTCCGCACGACAGATGCCAACAGCAAGCTCGCTGTCCCGGAAACGACGTCCAACCAATATTGCTTCAACACCAACTTCGAATACAGCATCAACCGATACAATCGACAACTTCACAGGCTTACCCATATATTTCATGTCATTCTTGACGAAGTTGTCGAAGAATGTGCCCTGATACTCGAATATGAGATCAAAGAGTTTGCCTTCATCGCAGTTAACGACCTGCGGAATCCACAAGGAAGAACCGAAAGTCAGAGATGCCGACATCAGTACAATTGCAAAAGATTGACAGCCAACTTTTACCAACGTCTCCAATCGACCAAGCATGTTACGGAGATTATATACTTCAACTTTACAGAATACAATATCTTTCAATGAGAGAAACGTGTAGGGTCCCGCAGAGGGGAATGCAACATTCACTATAATATGTGAATGTATGAAGACACAAACTCCAAACGTATAGTACATATGACCCCGTGCATTGATAGATGTCTAGGAAAAGTGTGTGATCGCGACCTTAAACTCCCTAATGTAAATCGGAATGCACTGAATAATTGTCGGAAGGCGCAGAGGAATATTAAAAAGTCTACCCACCCGTCATATATACATATAAATATATACTTA